TATTTTCATTACTGATGTTCAAACCATCTGCTGCAAAAACACAAAAATAAAAAAGCTTTACTTCTGACTCATCTACAGTACAGTACTGTATTTGAACAATGATGCTAACCAATCGAGATAGTCTAAGCATATTAAAAAGACGAGAATAAAGTTCATTATCTTTTATAGATACATTACTTAAAATATTTGTTGTATTATGCCCGAAAAAATCATTACCTCCAAAAGGTAGTAAGAATTGTTGTTATTGCGTAAAGAGGCATGCAACAATGAAACATAATCGATCAACATAAATTTGACTCCCAAAATATAAATATTTCAGCAAATCTAAACATAAGCGTCAATACAGGCCTATGCCATAATCTGCGCATCGTTTTTTAAGAGGTCATGCCATTAGAAAAAATTTAACGGATAATTTTTCAACGTGTCTCTTTATAATTAATTCTTTTTTCCTAATTTGTTAATTGCGAAAACTTAATTTAGATATGGTGTAGATTAAATCTAGGAATAATATAGTATTCAGAATGAATAAAGAACTAATTGGAATCATATGTAAAGGATGTTGTCTCTAATATGATTAATTAAGTTAGGTAACAAGCCATGTATTATATATATACTGTTCACATGTATTTTTTTCGATTAATTTCGGATAAATCTCACATTATGAAAGATTCTTTAAAAGCAATTTCTTCTCTTCCTTTTCTAACCCATTCTTTTGTTTATTTCAAAAAAAAATGTGCACAGCTTCATTACAGAGACCGTTCTCTTCCAACGATAGGAATTATAATTTACATATAACAAAATAGTATTAATTTAATTCTTACTCCTATTTAGATTATAGTTTAGCCTCTTGGAAAATAAGACGCGAAAAACAACCAAGTTTTATAATGATCTTATATTCAATTTGCCTTTTGGAAAGATAAATTCTATAGATTATGATTATAATTATTCAGCAAAATAATTTACGGCATAACTTCAATGAAATAATTTTGATTGAATCGTGACGAGACAAAGAATTCATTCCAATACGAGTATGTAAAAAGAATTGTTGAATTTTGTGTTGAGTAGTAATAAATTTTAATGCATTGTCTCTAAAGTATAAAAAGAAGTGCAGTTTCTTTACAAGTCATTAAGAAAAATTGAAAATATGAAAGCTCTCTCGGCTATCAAAAAACGACAAGAAAAAGATTCTCAAAAGAAATCCAGAAAAAATGGTTGGATTGAATATGTAACCGAACGTTGCTCTACCATGGAAAAAGCCACGGGTTTCAAAGCAAATAGAAAGGAAGTCGCTAAATTAGTCGCACAGGATTGGAAGGAACTGGCCGAAAAGGAAAAGAATAGATATAGAATTCGTGCGTATGATGCCTCAAGACGCGACTTATCGAATAACGTTTTTGACACTTATCTTGATGACTCGTTGGACCATTTGGACGCCACTGGCACTGTACCTACGCCCAAGGAATCTACAACAGCTTCCGAATCTGAACCCAGCAAACTTGAACACTCGCCTTTTGATTTCATGCACCTTTCACTGCTGAAGAAGTCTTTATGCTTTGCAAGTTCGGATATCAATACGACAAATATAATAATTTCTATTTCCATTAAATTTCCACCAATAGTATTTTAGATTTCGGTGATTTCCTTGGCAAAATCGAAGATAATTAAGGCAAATATTATGAAAACGTGGCAATATATAAGGATAATTTGACATTCTTGTCGTAAGTTTATACTATATTCTATTTTTCTTGTAAGAAAATACATAAGATGTAATCTCCTAAGATATTATTAAAAATTATAAAGTACTGTATATGTAAAATTAAGCAAATAAATATATGGTTTTATAAGATAGTTTTCATATGCGTGTTCAAAGGAAAATGTAAAGACTTATTACTTATTGATGATGAAAGCATTTTGGAAAATGACACGGGTGTTCCCATGTTGCATTTTTTGGTTTCAGTTTCACTAGTGTTACAGGCAAATGCGGCGCAGGTGTGTGACGCGATAACACGCGACGTCAGTTACGGAACAGTGGGAAATTAAGTGTAAACATGTAAACAACAGGCGCATGTAGACAAGTTAGTTTATAGTTGAAGCACATTAAGTATAAAACAACATAGTAACATTTAAGAATAATTCTTACCTTATATTAAGTGTGTCAAGATAGACTTGCAACTTGGGATACGCGACTACAAGAAAGAACCGAGGTTTTGCCTAAGGGAATTAGCATTGGAAGGATTCTAGGTTAGCCGGTGGTAAAATTAAAGTAAAGACCGGTCAAATTGAAGACATGCCTTTGAAGTTAAAAGAGAAACTTAGCTTATTGTTTTGCTGACGATAAGTATAGCAAGAAAAATTGTATTGTGCATTGGCAACCGACTCGCCAGAAAGCCTACAACACTAGACATTAGTCTGACTGGAGTAACCAATGTTTAGGGAATATTGACAAATTTGGAAGGCAGAATGATGTAGATGAGTCAGAAGTAAAGCTTTTTTATTTTTGTGTTTTTGCAGCAGATGGTTTGAACATCAGTAATGAAAATA